ATATCGACTGTTTGTTTGATGACAGCATATATTATTATTATGCATTACCAGACCCATTTGCTCCGCTTTCTTATCCAGTCTGGAGGCCTTGTTGCGGCCAATGATATCAATATCATCGGCGTACGTAGCAGCTGTATAATCCAATAGAAGATTGTACCTTTTGTATTCAAATCTCCCGCTCGAATTATTTTCTTCAGGTGTAGATTGAAGAAGTCGAGCGATTTGGTATTGAAGCGCTCGGAGAAGTTCTTCCCGGACGGAGCTTTTGGTATTGCTCAACGTTAGTTTACTCAGTCGCATTGGTTTTGCGGGGGCACCAAATTCAGATATAGCGGCATAAAGGCAGCTTGAAAGGTATATTCATAATAAATGACCAGAAGCTGACCTGTTTGAGCCATGTCCGTCTGTTTTTCAGATATCGATCTGAAATTCTTCACACAACCTTTTTTTCTAAGAAGAGCAAATTTTTCGGAACCGCCGACATCGGATAAGTCTAGGACATCGCAGATAGCCATAAAAACTGATCCATCAAAATTAAGTTCTTGTATGGAAAACTATTGACAAGATATCTCTAAGAAGTTTGTCATAAATTATTGGCCAAGGCAACGCTATAATCTTTGAATATGTATGTATTTTTCGGATGGTACTACTACAACATATAGCCGCCAAACAAACTGCAGCTGAGAAAGGCTTTATAGTTTCGGTGCAGCCGAACTTTTTTCTTGTTTTCATAAAAGGGGGTTCTACAATCGAGGAAATTTCGGCAGGATTATGTCAAGAAGTAGATACTGACCGAATCTCTAAAAAAATCATCTTAGTAGTAAACTCTCCAACTCAACAACGGCACTTGTTATATTTTAAGTCCAAAGTCTTTACTATTAAGTGTTAACTGTGTATTTCATTATATTACCAAAGTACTTTATCTATTATTCAAAAGCGATAATATTTAATAATTATGACGCAAGCCCCCATCCGTTGGCTGATTCATAGTTCTGAGCAATTTTATCGTTAAGGAAATAAAATATTTAAGAAATGAACAACCTTGTGACGTTTTCACATCACCCTACTTTTCGTAACAAACCTGCGATAACACAAATCTGTCAGATGTAGCTTTTACTATAACGCCAACTATGGTATTTACTAGACGCCAACACCCGCCATCCTCTCATGCGCGCTGGAGCAAAACAAAAGATGAATTCGCCGCAGAAAGCTCCAACCTTGCATGTGTATGTGTGCATGTACGCGTTTGTAAGCACAAAAGTATCCACTCGCCGAGCGCAAGCCGCGCGGAGTGCACATTCCGATGGAGCGACTAGCTTCCACAGCAGCAGCTGTTGGTCGGCGCTGGCAGTCTCAGCACAAACGCGTCGCGGCATGGTCGGCAACGGATGCGAGTAAATTTCGACCGAGTGGTATAGTTGAATAGTGATACATGTGTGTATGTATGTGTTTTTATAACCAGAAGTGCTGTGTGTGTTGTAATATGGAATTATAATTTAGAAGCATACTTTTAACGCGTCCCTATCACAGCGGTCACCTCGTTAGTTGGACAATTCAAGTCAAGATACTTTGATACAAAGGCACTTGTGTGTAGGCATGTAATAACGGTAAGCAATTACCTGTGCGTGGAATGGACGGCGCGCATTTTGAGTGACAGCAGAATATAGAGACAAAACAGACGGCGACGTCAGCGCGCATGCCGACGTCAACCGCGACGCTGCTGTCATTAGTCCGTGGATATGATGTGAGCGCAGACACTTGCTGTGCTAAGCGAATCGAAGAAAATTTTGTCAAAAAAAAAAAAGCAAACAAACATAATTGGGAAAATCTGTTAGCCGAAACACTCGTACAATTTTCAATAATTCCCAAAATTCACTGTGAAAAACTCGTTCACGCGTTTTTTCTTAATTAAAATTTGTTATATGGAAAATACAAAAAAAAAAAAACAAAAATAATAATAATACAACAATAAAAGTTTCCATGAAAATTTGCAAAAGGTGTAAAGAAAATATTAACAATTATTGCGAATGAAATAAACAAAAACAAGAAAAAAGTAGAAAGTGGTGAATGGTGAATGTTACTAAATGCTTTCGAATTGGAAGTGGAAAATATTGAAAAGCGAATTGTGTGTGCGGAAGTGTCAAAAAATCGATGCGGTTTATTTAAACAAAAAAAAAAAAAAACAAAAAGCACAGCTAAATTAAGGGGATAAGCGTGATAAGAGCGTAGAAGTAGGGAAACGCATTGCCGTGAAGAAATGTCGAATTGGTGCAAATGTGCTTAGCTCAAAGGTTTTGCGTTGGCTTAGCAGCATATTTGCATTAGTGATTAGTGATATCTGTTAGATATGCGTTACTGCAGTAGATGCTGCAACACACATGCACATATTTACCAGCAGCAGTACAAAAATGTGCGATAAACTTGTCAAGTGACTGGTGCGCTAGTAAGCAATAGAGTGCCCTGTTGGAAAAGCACGTGGTTAGCTAAGAACTTGCTGAATTATATATGATAAGTTGTAACAGAAATTGTGATTAAATACAGTGGCGAACCACAAGTGTCTTTCGACTCGCTCTTTCCGCCACGATATGTAAAGCATCGTATTATTTTAACACCACCAGCAGATCCCCCACTAAGGTCAGACACATGTTAAATTACCTAATCCATTTGAACGATATTGCGACCGTTGAATTCTTAATCGTTGAACTGTGTATAATGAGAATAACTCCAGTTTTCCTCAATACCTTGTGCGTTTTTGCCATTTAATTGTATAAGGGAATTCTCGTAGAAACCCTCGTCCATATTGGCAAAAAACTGGGACAGTTGATTTTCATAAGCTTCTCTTGTGGTGAATATTTCACCAGCAAAGTTCTGCGTCATATACAGGATGTAGTTATCACTCACCACTGAAAACATAAGTACCTCACAACTAAGCTCTCAAAGTTTTTGGCGAGTCACTATTGTGTGTTCTGATGGAAAACAATTCCTTTCCCAGTTTCTAAAGCTGATCGCTTCCGTTCGATTGCTTCCTTCAGAGGATCCATTTGTTGACAGTACAGGTCCGTATTAAAGGTTTCCGCGCTGTACACAGGAAAGGTTAGTTATCACTTGGTGTTAAGTTCGGAATCTAAACTGAAAACATAAGTACCTCCCAACTAAGTAGAAAGTAGCTCTCAAAGTTTTGCGTGTCACTATCGATGTATGTGGCCTAATGGAAAACAATTGTTTTCCTAATTTCCTGGTTTGGCTACTCACTTAGCTCGTTTTTCTGGGTAGATGATATTGAAAATAAAATTGAAATGCTTTTTGGAAACTTTCATACGTAGATACTGTTGCACGGGCTAAAAGTGCACTGTAGCTAACCTAACCATTTAGCATCTACATTGTGGAAAAAGTACCCGGAAATTGTAAATAAAATGTTTAATTATTTACCAATATATTATTATTATTTTGTCGCCTTCAAAGTAATCCTTACCAGATGTAATACACCTATTTCAACGAGATTTCCAATCCTCGAAACGCTTCTCATAAGCTCTTTTTGGCGCGGCCTTCAGTTCCTTTAGCAAATTATGTTTTATCTCTTCGAAAATATCAGTTGGATCGCTGGCATTCATTGCGTTTTTGACTTTCAATTCGGTCACAAGGTTGAGCAAGAACGCGTAGCATACCCAAAATATCCACCAAAATCATTGGAACACGGATTCGGGAGAGATGTTGAGATTTCTAAAACTTGATTGGCGATTTTCAAGCACCGTATCTCTCATTTTTTTAATATTTTCATCAGTTGAAGAGGTCGAAGGTTGTCCAGAACGAGACGTGTCTTCAACGATCTCTCTTTAAAGGCTTTGTACGACTTGTAGGTTTGTGTTTTTGATAAAACTGAATCACGGTAAGCCTTTTCCAACGTTTTTATAGAGTTTATAAAATCCTAAATAAGGATGGTCCGAGTTATAGAGACTCTACTGTATCTTTAAATATGTTTGAGCGTACATATCTTATAATTCACAACTGCATTCCAAAAGGGTAGTTTACTTGCCGCAATCAATGCAATTATAATCAGTGGCAACAACAACTGCAACAACTAATGAATAACGAATATACGTATACGTCGTTGTTGTTGTAAGTGCGAATTTTTGTGGGTTGGAATGTAGGCGGCAAAACTGTAATCATAACTGGAAGACGAGTCAGAAGTAGTAAAACTTGATTTGTATAGACAAATGGGGCAGAAGGGGGCTATTATTAAAGTAATCTGACATAATGCAATATTTATAATGTTTAGACATATCTACATGCGGTTAGCACAGGCCACAGTTGTGGATGTGTGCATGTGGTATTAGTCATTTTAGCAAACGCTTACGCGGAAAGAGTGCCACAGCTAGAGAGGGGTAAGGGCATTATAGCGTGTTGGTGCGTCAGCTTATTCTTGCAACAGTTGCAATGTTGCACATTTATTGCAGCTTTTACGACGAGCTGCGATGTAAACGCCACGATCTGATCTGTGTATATACATAAGTGCGTGGACACACATACACATACGTACATATGCATGTACACACTTGTATACATATGTATAGGAAAATTGCGGCAAATAATAAAGAAAAGCCACACAGGCGCTTGCCACAACAACGCGCCACGCCAAAACCTGTTGGCATTTTTTCATCGCCATGTGTGTCTGTGTGTGTGTAATTTTTGTTTAGTTTGTGCATTTAACTTGTTTAATTGGGCCTAGCCTCGTGGCGCTTACGAAAGTGACTTGTACATGTATATATCTATCATTTATATAAGCTTATATATATTTATCTATATAATAAATACATAAATGTAGTGGAAGTGAAGTGGTTTGGTGATTTTCTCTTATTTTGTTGTTGTAGCAATAAAAGTACGCGAAACAAAAAATACCAAACCTAAAAGAAATAAATAAAATTACATCAAAATTACAACAGCAACAACACGCAGCCGTGTTAATATCAAAACACAAAAATAAAAACAGAAGAAATAGAAATAAACAATGACACGCCTCACCGAGGAAATGGTCATTGCTCGCTCCAAGCAATCCGATTTGGGGTCCATCAAAAAGCTCAATTGCTGGTAAGTATTTCTTATTTACATACATACATATGTATATGTGACCTGGTCTACGGAAAAGGGGGCTTAGGTGTCAAAAAATCAATTTTCACTTTTAGTTGATTCGGATGGAAGATGAGATGCTTTTTTTTTAACAGCTTTTTCCCAGAAAACTAGTTTTCGCACGTTAGCTCCCTTTTCGTAGACCAGGTCACATTTAGTGTACATGTATATGTACATAAGTATGTAAGCACATAAGAGTATGATTTGATTAGTTACCAGTCTTTTTGAAGACAAAAGATATTTGTTACTCCTTTTTATTTCTATAATTTCGAGTTTGATTAGGTCCTTGAAATAATATTTTTGTTATCTCCTTACTAATTCCTTCCAACTCAAAAATTAGGTACTTCTACTAGTTGGTCTAAATAAGAAGAAAATGTTAGATAAAAACTTTTCTAAATTTTATAATTACCCAAACAATTTGAAATTCCATCTTCTTAGATATACATTGTGACAAAAAATTGCCTTCAAACTAATCCCCACGAGACACTTGTGCCAACGAAGTCCACTCCTCGAAACACTATTCATAAGCACTTTTTCGGATGGCTTTCAGTTCCTTCGGTGAATTTTTTTTTATCTCCTTGATCGACTGAAAACGGATTCCACCCGAGAGGACAAAAAAAAATCACACGGAGCCAAAATATTCACCAAAATCATTGGAACCGACTCGTGAGAGTTGTTTGACCATTTCTCAAACACTTGTAGACGATTTTCAAGCATCATATCCTTCACGTTTTTTATACCCTGAACATGGTATATTAGGTTTGTCATGAAGTTTGTAACACCCAAAAGGACGCGTCGAGACCCTATAAAGTATATATATAAATGAGCAGGATGTCGAGCTGAGTCGATTTAGCCATGTCCATCTGTCTGTATATATACGAACTAGTCCCTCAGTTTTTAACATATCGTTCTGAAATTTTGCAAATGTCATTTTCTGTTCAAGAATCTGCTCATTTGTCGGAACTGCCGATATCGGACCACTATGACATATAGCTGCCATACAAACTGAACGATCGGAATCAAGTTCTTGTATGGAATACTCTCACATTTGACGTGGTGTCTTCACGAAATTTGACATGGGTTACTGCTTAAGGTAACAATATAATCTTTGAAAAATTTGTTTAGATCAGTTTACTATAGCATATAGCTTCCATAAAAACTGAACACATTTGTAGATATTAACAGAAATGCACCTGTAAAGGGTATTTAGCTTCGGTGCAACCAAATTTAACGTTTTTTCTTGTTTTTTAATATTTTCATCAGTTGAAGAGGTCGATGGTTGTTCAGAACGAGACATGTTTTCAACGATCGTTCAACCTTTGAAGGTTTTGTACCACTCGTGGGCTGGTGTTTCCGAACCATCGTAAGCCTTTTTCAACATTCCCAACGATTCCGCGCACGAAATTTGAGACAAATTCTTTTTGAAATATTATATCATTTGCCCGAGGAATCAAATTACATTTGCCATTGGAAATTCTAATGCATCAGCAGACAAATCTAGAGTTAACAGGACGTGGAACGCCAAGCAGCAATCAAGGTAATACATTATCTAGTTCCTACATATTAACTAGAAGTGCCTTCGGAAGCAGAATATTAGTCAGGAACAAGCGACTTTAGTTCAACTTTGTGACAGGACACAGTCAGGTGTACGACTGTCATCCGAAAACGTGAGCAATATTAGTAAACCCATGCATTGCCTATATAACAATATGGACAATGGGACGGCCAAGTCAAAACGTGGAACAGTCTAACGGGGTACATAATTTCAAAATTCAAGCGTAAAGCGGTAGATCAGAAATATACTATGAATACATTGAAAATCGAAGTTCAAAAGCTTTAAACCAAGAGGGTCTCTTAAGTTTACATAGAAGTTTACCAAGAAGGAATCGTCGGATATCGTTTTAAAAATTAAAGTATAAATTTCTCAAAATCGCCGATATACAGAGTTACAATGCAAATTATTCGATAAAAACCAAGTCTTTGAATCGACCATTTGTTTTTAGTTGCCAAGACATTTTCACAAAATTTGACATGGATTATGGTATAAGTTAGGAATTTATCTACCATACAAACTGCGTGGTAAAAATCAAGATAAAGATCTTTTTATACCCTTTTATTCTATTAGAAACGCATACGTGAAGGGCATTAGAGCTTCGTTGCAGTCGAAGTTAATGTGTTTTCTTGTTCTTATTACAAATGCAGATATATTTTCACCCCTTATATCAAGTATAATCGGTTCCAACGAAAGTATGCACACATTTATGTACTCATGGATTTGCATACATACATACATATTAGTGTACATAAGTATATTCTTGCATGAGGACATTAAACCAATTTGCTTTCCGCTGTCGCCGCTCATTCAATTGCATTATCATCATAATCGTTATGATTTTTGTTGCTTGCTTGTTGTCTATTTGTTTGTCCGTTGTGGTTGGCGGCATCACTGATGGTGTCATTGCCTCCGTTACAACAACAAGAGGCGTCATTGTCAACGCTATGCATTTTATGAACTCGCCTTTCTTTCTGCTCTGTCACTGCTCTGTCTCACTATCCATTGTCCAGTGTTGAGGTAATTGCAATTGCAGTTTTAGTGTTCTGCTGTTGTTGTAGGCGGTGAATTTAATTACTATATGCACTTTATTGGCTCCCACACTTGCAACAAAGCAAATCACTAATATAAAGGAGTTTGTAACTTTGTATTCACCTATGTATTGAAATGTGTTTGTGTGTATATATGTAAAATTTAACTATATATAAGTATTTGTATATATGTATGGACTCATATATGCATATGTATATGTGTGTTGGTTACGCTTGGCCGAATCCTGCGAATGGCGTTGCCCTCGAACCATCAACAAGATCGATATACACAATGAACTAATTATGTACAGTAGCGTGCAAAGAAAAGCTTTTAATTTTGTCACAGCCAGAATTTGAATCCTTGGCTCGCAACAACATATGTGAGCAAAAAAAAATTTCAATTCCATTTTAATGCTCGCTACTGTATATTTAGACTTTGACGTTCACGCTTGACTTGCCACTGCAATTTGATAAACAGAAATTGTACTTAGTTAGCTTCAGTGCATAAAAATACGCATGAATTAAACAAATTTCTAGATCGTCGAATAAGAAACTGTTGCTTTAAGCCATTATATACTTACGTAGTACCCATGTTTAGTATTTTCTGAATACAAATTGGAAAAGTATATAACTTTACTTATGTTGACTTGCATATTTTTTTTTTATATCCTCTGCCTCCACGACAATTTTCTAGCACTGTTTCTTTAACTTTTTCGATGTTATTATTATCAGAGGTGGATGGACGACTCGCATGGGGCAAGTTTTCGCTGACTGTACAACCTTTACAGAACATTTTGTCACTCTGAATCACTTGTGTTTATGTTAAAGTAGACTTTCCAAAACACTTCTGTATATTTTTGGTGATTTCTCAGCCATTGGAAATTCAAAAAAATTGCTGTTAAATGTTGTTCCATGTTAAAAATCGCCAGAAAAAGTTTGCGCGTTATGAACACGCCGCAGCCAAACACACACTAATTGTCATATGGATATCAAACCTTACACGACTATAAAAAGTTTGTACCAAACTAGGTAGTGGCGCGTCGGCCCGGGTAAATTTTAATTGAGTGCTGGAGTAAAACGAATTGTACAAAATCTGAACTATCGCTTTTATGTGATCTATTTAAAAGCACAGAAACTTCAAATTCAATGGGAAATTTTCGAAAGTTTACACTTCAAATAATGGCAGCGGCTACGTCTCAGATGGTCCATCCCTTGCGTCCAATTTTCGTTGACTATTAACGTTCTCACCGGTATCATTTTTTAAGAAATTTGTTTTTTCTGGATGAAATGGCAGTTCTAAAATCTCTTCTGGTTGCTCTTCGTCCTAAATGCGAAAAATTTGCTTGATATACATATTGAGCTATAAATATACCTCATCGCTGAACGAAATTTGGATCGAAAACGTCGCATATTCTTGGAACTTTTCAAGAGGCCATAAAGCAAAGCGATGTCGCATGGAAAGGTCGAGCGGCTTCAGTTCAGTGCGTGCTGGAGGCGGTCTTTTCGTTCGAAAATGATCCAATTATGAATATTGGGTCCCAAGATAGGTGATGGTGATGCGAATAGTACGTTCAGTAGGCTGATTATGTTGACCTCAGGCGTTAGTTTTTCGAAATTTCCGCGAAATGCCAAACAATATTGCACAAAAACAACATTACAGCTTGACACAACTCACGCGTGATCTGTCACAAAAAGGCTATTGGAAAAAGTACCTCTTGGATCAACCTTTATATGTGATGCGTGGGAGCAAATATGAAGCTATAAATTTTACGAAGTTAGTCAGTAAGATTCAAGTAGTTTTTCCGAGCACAATCCAAACTATTTATTCACATTAAGCTCTATTACTGCATTTGTGACTGTGTACTTAACTATTAGAATGATTAATCACACTTATTTAAATATACACTCATACAAATTTATATGCCATTATTTTCACACTTGAATGCGACATTATCTATCATGAAAATGTTAATCGTACAAAGAGTCTGGATACAGCAACGAATAAACAACAATTTCTAAGTTTCTATTTTCTCAAGAACCTTGAAAAGCGCTTTTTGTTGTAGAATATTGACAATTCGGTTGAATGGGAAAGTCTGTAAATCTTTTAGATACGAGCACATATGTATGTAAAGATATGTATGTATAATGTAAAAGCAAATTTAAAGTTGTGATAGCTCATGTGTACATATATATTTACACATGACAGATGAGCACAATGGAGAAGTAAATTCGTGCATTCAGCACTGCAGTGAATAATTTGGGTTTTTAAAGCGGAATTTAAATGAAGAGCCCAAGTCAAAGTGCTGCTTGTGGCATGTTATATACACATGTGATATATACATACATACATGCATTCATACATAGTCGTGAAGGTTTAAGTGCACCTATGGTAAATGTGCGGCCATCAACTTCTTTCTACGAACTTTCACCAGAGCTCCGTAAATGGGGTCTTCTCGTGTAAATCTAAGATTTCTCGTTAAGTTTCCGTTAAGTTGGCTCTTTTTATGGGTGTTGCTTGTTGCTTGTTTGTCCCGATGCATGGCAAATGCATTAATATATGTACATACATTGTCTATTTTTTATTGACGCGAACACAAAATATGTTGTATATATGTATATATATATATCTTGCTTTTAATGTATATATACATATATCGACATACATTTGTAAGTGTAAAAGTTTATACATCTGTGGTACATGATATTGATCTTAAGCTTGATCGGACAGTTTGTGTGACCGCTACCATACATACATATATATGCTATAGTAGTCCGATCTGACAATTTCCTCTTTGCGGTCTGTTGCTTTGAAAAAAAACCATGCCAAATTTCGTGAAGATATCTTGGCTAATAAACAAGTTTTCCATACAAGAACTTAATTTAGATCGGTTAACTTGTATTGCAGCTATATGCTTTAGTGGTCCGATATTGGCGGTTTCGACAAATAAGTAGCGAAAAAAGGTAGTGGGCAAAGTTTCAGATCGATACTTCAAAAATTAAGCGACTAGTTTGCATATACATACATATACTGACGGACAGATATTTCTTTTTGGGTGTTATAAACTTAATTTACCTTGTTCAGGGCAAAAGGACTCAAAAGTTAGTTATGGATAAAATTTAAATAACTGGTTTCTTCCTCTAATTTCTGATAATAGTTAAGATGATAACATGTGGACCGCTATATGTAGTCCTTTGTGAAGCCATAAAAAAGAAGAACTATATTCGAACTTATAAACTAGCAAAACGAACTCATAAACTAGCTTCTCAGAAACTTATTTTTATTTTTATTGAAAAAATTCCAAATTTCAAATCAATATGTCTAATCGTCTAAATTTTTAAAGTTTGAAAAGCCAACTTTATGAATATGTGATGGTTATTTTTGAGAAACGAAAATCAGTTGGCGAAATTTTAGATTGAATGAAAAACCGAAAATTCTTATGTTAAATGTATGGGAACCTAAAAAAAAATAGATCACCCCTTAGAGTTAAGCTACAGCGCCTGGCTTAAGGGAGGATTTTTTGTTTGTCAATCACTAACATTCGAGGGGGGGCGGGGGCTGTTTATTAGTAAGAGTTGAAAAAAGAACTAACAATTTTTTTTGAAGCATCCTAATAGGCTTAAAAAGAGTCCTCAGAGTTCGTTTTGGCTAATCATTTAATCATGATCCGGTATGAAGTCAAAGTGTGTGAAGATATCCGAGTGTTCAAGTACTGTTCTTTTAAGAACACAGATTCTCTGAGTCGGATAGCAATTTTCGCAGCCACACACCTTCCGGCGATGTCTACGGACACTATTTGCAAGATGGAGTTGAGTGCCATGGTTGCAGTGGACACCACTTATGAGTGCCGCCCGTTTAATGCTCTTGACTTTGTGTGCAAGTATGATCTTCTCCTGAGGAATTAATTAAATAGCGTCAAAATTAGAATAAAATCAGGGTAACTCTTCAGTTCACGTTACATATCAAAAAGGTAAAATTGTTGACTATTCCTTTTGGTTTCACACTGTACGTATTGTATTATGGAAATTAAAGCTGAGTTGACAGCTCATCATAGATGTAAGTTAGAAACTGCTACTTCAAAATATGAAATTCGCCTATCAATTACTTGTATTTCCTAGTGTTCTTTTAACCATAAACTTCTCATAATTAGTGAAAAAATAACCCAAATGAAGTTCTTATAAGAAACCGCTTTTCCTTAATGATAAAAACTAGCCATTGTTTTCGAATAGTAGCGATAACTTTATTTACAATATACACACATATAAACATATATAAATATACATACTTTTTTCTATTTATGGCATGCTTTATCTTATTGAAAATATGCACAATCTTAGCGAAAGATTCATGTTCACTTGAAGCGTGCTAGTACTGCGGGAATCTAATGCGCATATTTTAACTTATTTTGGCTTTTAGCTTCTGGTTCAAGTATTTTCCCATCTTAATGTCTTTTTCATGCACGTGTAGTTCATGCCAGCGGACAAGCGTTTTCCACTTAACCCGCCGCTGTCGACTTTTCCAAGCGTGACACTCTCATTTAACCCAATACAGGCTTAAAAGTAAGCCTGCGCGTGCAACCCTGTAAGAAAATGTGGAGAAAGAATAAGAATAATGTGTGAAATGAACTTATTTAAGACTACTTCGGTTTTCAAGTAGCGCCAGATCTTATATTTTGATAAAGACATTTGTTTTAATTCTTTTTTTTTGCCTCAAATCTTAAGCTAATTGGAGTAAAATCAAGCTGGTAGAATACTTATTTTGTCAAAAAATATACGATTTTATTTATGGCACATTTTTGAACTTCTCGAAAACGCGAGGCAAATTTTGAGGATCCATATAGCCAAGCCAATTTTTTTTTTAACTTTTTCGCAAGATAAATTCAAGCACTTTCACGAACTCGGAGTGTCTTACAAGGCTCTATTTGTGTATCGCAATATATATACATATACCATATTTATAGCAGAATAAAAGTGCATACAAACTGGTTTGGTCGCAACTCCTCGTCAGAATGCGGTCCCTATGCCAGGCACAGCTGTATAATTACAAGAAAGCTTTGCGCTTGCGTTGTTACTCTACTTGCAAATAGTATTAGAATGGATATTGCTTTAGTGAAATATTATAAAATAGTTCCAACATTTTGCATAACTTGCTTTTGTTTGGCGCCAGTTAAAAATGCTAGTTTAAACCAAAACCTTATTAACTAATTAATTTTTTTTTATGTTTTTAAACAATGCGGATTGTAGTAGTGGATGAAAAAGTTTTCAAATACCACCATCAAGCTTTCGGTTCTCGGATAATGCTGAAAGCTTAAACTATATCATTTCGGTGTGATATTATGTATCTTATGCTTCGAGTATCGCACCGCTATGGTGCCTTGACCTTGAGAAAGATATACTTAGAGGTTGATCCATTTCGCGGTTCCTACGTTTTTTTTTTAAAGAAACAACACAGAAGCTTCAAATTTAATGGGGAACGTTTATTACCATTCGAAAGAATATTTGAGGTTTATATTTTTAAGATTATCTTTTAAATGTTTGCCGCGGCTAGGTCTCAGATGGTTCATTCGTCCCTTTAAAATGCGATAATTTTGCTTCTTTACATTCCCATTGAATCAGAAATGTGCCTCATCGCTGAAAAAAATGTGTGTCTCGAAAACATGAGTTCTCCTTGGATCTTTTTAAGAGCCCATAGAGCGAAGTGAAGTCGGTTGGGAAGGTTAAACGGCTTCAGTTCTTGTACAAGCTGAAACTTATTCGCTTTCAATTTAAAATCTCGACGTAAAATGGCCAAGTTGTTTCTATGTCAATCCGAGTTGTTGCGACCGCCGCCGAGTTGACTCTCCTTGCTAAGTCTCAAATTGGGTGATGTTGTTGAATTTTCGTAATAAAGTTGAACAATTCGTAAACGTTGTTCATGCGTAAGTCTTTCCATGATGAAATGCCAAACAATATTGAACAAAAAGAATATGACAGCTTGACATGACTCACGCGTTATTTTTCAAAAAAGGCTATTGATAGAAGTACGTCTATTTGCATCACGCATTACATATATGTCACTATGTGTGCATATATGTTTAGTTTTTTATTAGCCATAATTTGACCTTTCAATATCAATTTTTATCTTAAATATTAAAACCTTCTCTGGAGGAAATCGAAAACTTGCCTTCTTTGGGGTGATTGCCTTTGCTCTGCTTACTCATAACGACATTAATTATCAAAATAAACAAAAACTTGATCATAGACAAATTGATTCATAACAAGTTTTAATTAAAAATGCTTTTTGTTTTGTTTTTTCGCTATTTGCAGGGGAAGTGATCTCAGCGATGTCTCCATAATTAAAAGAATGCGTGGTGTGGAAGTATTGGCGCTAAGGTAAGATATAAATAAAAATGAAATAAAGTTAGATATGCAAGCAGAGAATAAAGTACAACAACAAATGTGCAAAAATAAGCTTAAATTATGAAACTTGAAAAATTATAGCGCAAGTGGCTTTATGCGGGTTAACCAAAATGTTGTGGTAGTGCGAGGTTCGCTGATATAAATCTCTCAGCAGGAAGTTGACAATTTTTAATAAAAAAATAATAAGTGGTAAATACATGATTAATTGTAATGAATGAAATGGGTTATAAGCAAAAAAATGATTTGTGTCGAAACTGGATATTTTTCTGAGTAAAAGTTGATTGCTTGGCAAAACTGTGTCTCATTAATACAAAAATATTTTTGTATATAAGAAGTGTATGCATAAAGAGTCATGACGTAATTTTCTTTAAAATAAACTGGTTGGTATTTCAATAGGTGATATTTATTCTCTGAGGTAGGCTAAGTTCAAAAAACTCGTACGACCTTGATGACCAATCTATAGCACATTTTTGAGGTTGAGATAAAAAGAATCTTAGGTTTAACTAGTATGTTAAAAGATTCATTATTGAAACTAATTTTAATACACGGAGACTGAATCTTTTCCTTATTTTTTGTGTCCTTGCTATCACTTTGAAAACGTTGAAACCACTCGTGCACTCTGCTACGGGATAGGCAATCATCGTCATAAACTTTTTCATCAATCGGTAAAAGTTTTACCAATTTTAATGTTGGTTCTTTGCTCGGAGCTCATTTTCGCACCTTGTATGTTTTTTGCTGTTGTAATACCATAAAACATTTCCCTAGGTGTGCTTAGACTCGATTGTCAGGGACCAGTTAGACAAATGCTCTATTTCACTGAAACAACTACAGTTGATTCCTTACCAAATAATTATAATCGCATTGACAACAAACTGTCATTAAACAAGACCAAGCTATAGCATATTGTCATGGACATATGAAATTTCCATTAATGTGTTCTGCCACTCCTTCAGTTGCTGCTAATTACAAATCTAATGCTTTTTTATTTTTAATGCAATTTAATAAAATTATTCATACTAATTACTGCACATATACAGCAACTATAACCATAGTTTAAATATTTTAAAAATTTCCATTCCAAAACTGCGCTGAACGCTCATTATTGTCATAAGTTGAATTTGTCAAAACACCAAATAAAGGCATACAAACATTAACGCATTTATAAATAGAGATAAGTACACTCCCAGTGCATATAAGTGCGTACGTATGTGTGCCGTTTCAGAGCAACTTAAAGATCACACTACCATAAAATCGATGGCCACCACATGACATACATCTGTATCGGTAAGTGGAGCACACATGTTACGGCGCTCAAGCACCCACTGAAGAATGCCTGAGATTAATTTCTTTTGTGCTGATTTCCTGTCTCGCATTACCATAAAAGGGCCACGACGGTAGTTGTTGGCATTGAATTGGAGGAGGCAAAAGTGTTAAAAAAAGTCGAAAAAATCAATTTGATTGTCAAGGCCGCTTAAGCGATGAACCAGCAGCACTCAAAGTTAATGCTTAGTGCCAAACTTATGGTCGATATATACATATGTACATAAGTACATACCATGAGTATAAATATATATATGTAAAATGCACAAAGAGCAATTTATTGGAAAATTAATATTTAAATATATAAGCAAGTACACTCGTGGCCAGTTAAATAACCATAAGGGCGCAATAGGCAAAAGTGTTGAAAATTTAAATCCATACTTACCAAAGCGAACTGAGAAAAAAACAACATGTTCACGTATTTTAATACAAATCTTTATTTTCGCTATCAAAATACGTCAAAACAAGTACGCAAATCCAATTTTCCAAACATTTGGTATTAGCCTCGGCTGGAGTGGTCTTCAGTATCTTCAGTACTGACTTTTAATGGGTTCAATGGACACATGGCGCATTCACCGATGCCGATTTTTTAATTTCGAAAGCAGTGAAAAGTTATACGGAATCAATCTGGTGGACACGATTGCTTAGTGAAGACTCTCTTTTCATGTTTGGTTAAGAAGTTAATAACAATGGTTCTAGAATGTGACAGCGCATTATCGTGTCAAAAATCCATGAATTTTCTGCTTCCAATGATGATCTTTTGCTGTGAATTATTTCAAAGCGGCCAAGTAGCATTCCGAATCGATGGTTTGACTCTACGAGACGAATTCATAGTGAACTACACCACAGTTTCACCCAAAAACAAAAAAAAAGAAACGACGACTATCACCATGATTTTGACAGAGTTTGACCTTGGTTTTTTTGGTTTAGGCCATCGCCATCTTCATTATTTCCATAATACCCTTGCACTTTTCTAAGGATTCCTCTTCTCTTATTTGGCTGATATACTCTTGTTTCGGGACTTTGAGTAGCCTAGAATTCTTCTGTGATATCAGCTGGGGTACTCTTCTCTTCTCAGGGTTTTCGTCGAAGTGTGTGTACGTTGGATGCTGGTAGGTGTATGATCTCACTTTACTTTGTTGTCTTCCTCTCGTTGGTAGGTTCTATTCCGGTGCAACTCCGGTGGGAGTTGCGAATGCATATTTAAAGGTGACATCTATTTGTCTCTTCGCCGGAGGTTCATTGGGGATGCATTTTGAGCCCTCTTTTCCTACAGCTCTTGGTCGGGGTTGCGTATTACTATTCGCAGCTAACTTTTTACACTATATACCATCCGCCAACTGTGACCCCAGTAGTAGCTTGAGCTCAGCCTTACCTCAGTATTACCATTGAGATAATAGGAATAGTAGTTAGCTAAAAGCCTGATTGAGCTTTCTCCTTTTGTTTTTGTAGACATAAGAAACATTCTTGGAAAAATGTCGAGCTCATTATAAAAAGGTGGACTAACGGGTTAGGTGGGATTCAGAGGTACAAAAAAAAGGTATTTTTACGATTTTTTTTTAATAAAAGCAATCATATATTTGGAAAATATAATATGTTATATCATAGGTATATATTCGAACCATATCTCCTGAAACTCCGATACAAAAATGTTGAAAATTCCGTCGTTGCGACCGCATTTCCTTGGGTGTCTCTCAAAAAAGTGCTCTCGCCGTGGACAGCATAGCTTATTATTGTTTCATATAAAGTTAAAAAACTAAGCATATTCTGTTAGTACATATCTAAATCACGTTTTTGAACATAGGAAATAAAAAAATATGGAATTGTCCTTCTTTTCTCGGACTTTGAACAAAAAATCTCATTTTTGGTAAAAATTTTCGGCATTTTTTGGTCAAAAAAATAAGTTGTAATGAAACAAGGTTGTCCACAACCTTTTAATTTGAGGAAATATCGTCTTGAAATTTGGCATGAACTATTGTCTAAGGCAATAATATAATCTCCAACAAAAATGTTCAGAATGGATCATTACAACATATATCTGTCATACGAACTGAGAGATCGGAATAAAGTTTTGTAAGGAACCTTTTGTATTTGTAAAGCGTATTATAGCTTCGGTGCGGCCGAAGTTAACGCTTTTACTCGTTGCTTTCGCTTCATAGAACATAGAACATAGAACATTATGTATATTCGGGTCAGCGTTATTTTTAGCTTTCCGCCACTGTATACAAGTACCCTATATTATTTACTTACAATATTATTTGTCTATTTGGTGACAATCGACAATAACTGCAATGCCAGGCCCATGTCACAGCTCATTGCGTTCCCAGCGCTTACAAAATTTATTCATCGACTTAAATCATTCAGTTTTTTTTGCGCCCAGAACGTGGTTGCGCAGGCCCACGCACGTCAATATGTATAAATATGTATATACATAAATACTTAATGGTAATAGCAACGCACACAGATACTCAAAGAAGCGATTTGTTTACGAATATTCTTGCATAATTAGTTATGGCAAAAGGCAATTGATCGAAATCGAAGTGTGCTCAGAATTGAGTGAAGAAAACGCAAATAATTGCTTAGCGTGCCATACATTTACGTAATATTATTTACATAGTATATATGTACATTGGTGTATGTATGGCTGTGTAAATAAGCAGTTTGATTGAAAACGCTGCTCAACGCCCGAGCAATGTGCAAATATGGCTAAAACGCTTTTGACGCATTCGTAATTGAAGATTTTTGAAGTGTTGTGGCGTTTTTGCTGGCAAATATCTCTAAAATTTTATTTGTATGTGTTTCTGTGCTGGTAAATATACATATATCTATTTTTATTTGTATGTATGTGTTTCAGTGTAGGCGCGCAACAAGTTTGCTAAGCTATTGGTGGCGACCAGATGGCTTCAAAGTTTAGAGTCTGAGCATTTGACTGCAGTTTGTAAGTCATAAAGTAGTCAGCACTAATAGCTTGTGGTTTGCTCACAAATTTTAAAATTTATTTTGCAAAAATAAAAATATATTTCATATTCATAATTTTCGCTGAAACCTTGCCGAATTATATGGGTTGCTCCATTGTTTTTTTATTTACAAAATTCGAAACAGGTTTAGCCACACATCAGGTATTATTAAGTAGTACAAATTCCGTTTGTGCATACCACCTGTGCTATATTTTATACTTTATTTCATATTATTCAAATTCATTTCCGTAACGATTTTGGATTAAAACCCAATATTCCAAAACCAGTTTAGCTTCAAACTTAACTTTTTTGTAACTTCTCACTTTATTTTCTTAAAAAATCCCAAGAATTTTAATACGTTCAGTTTACTGTCTTAAAATAATCTTGTATCGCAAATTAAAATATAATTCTGAAGTATGAGGTGCAAGAAGAATACCTATCAAGCTACTAAATGTTTTCTGCGTCACCGCAATGTTAACCCAGAATGAAAGGAGCTGGAGGGCTCACTGAGCACCTTAGTAATATAGAACTACGCTTAATAAGGGGTTTATCAATAAGAGCGCTACAAACATTTTTTTTTTTTAATGAAAGATAAAAAGGATGTCAATTGAAAGTACATTCAATGTCATCACGTAGCACGCTTGTGGAACCCTATTTTCGACGGTTTGCAAGCATAAATCGGCCGATACTGCTGCT